TGCAGCGCCTGAGCTCGCACGACTCTTGCACACCGGTTGGATTACCAACCAAGGTGTTCCGGAAGACATAGTGAGCGACCGAGACACTCGTTTCATGTCAGCCTTTTGGACTTCTCTCATGACTGAGTCCGGCACGACAATGAAGTCGAGCTCGGCTAGGCACCCGCAGACGGATGGTCAGACGGAGCGAGCGCACCAGACTGCTCAGATGATGTTGCGTACGCTCATCCGTCCCGACCAGAAAGATAGGGTTGACCGGCTTCCCGACATCGAGTTCGCCTACAACACTTCGGTGCACCCGGCGATCTGTGTCACACCATTCGAGCTACATCATGGTGGAGAGAAAGCACGGATCTTCGCTGATCTCCTTTTGCCACAGGCTGCCGACATAGACGTCCCTTGCTCTCCCGCTTCTGTCAGGAAGTATCGGGACTTGCTGATCAAAGCCCGCGTCAATATGCAAAAGGCTCAGGTCCGCATGCAGCAGCAAGCTAACCGACGTCGACTTCCATGTCCTTTCCGCGAGGGAGACCTTGTTTGGGTCCTCTCCGAGGAATTTGCGCTCGAGCAGGATGTTTCGCGCAAACTCCTTCCGAAATGGTTCACTTCTGCCGTTGGAGACGACCCCGCAGGTCCTTCCTTCGTGATCAACATTCCACCGCACCTAACAGTGCATCGGGTCTTCCATGCATCGAAGTTGGCCATCTACATGCCACCTCCAGCTGACGAATTCCCCGGACGTCGATCACAGCTCGATTGTCCCCGCACATGCACATGGGGGAGATACCACGGATGAAGAGATGGGGGAGAGGCGAGACGAAGATGGAGGTGAGGGAGAAGACCAAGATCGCCATAGCGAAGTCCAAAAATAGTCTCCCTGCCGAATGTCCAATCAATGTCTGCCACAAAATGTCGAATCAGATCCTGGGCTTCATGCCCGATGTAACCTCTGCGTGTAACCTGTCTCTCTCTCTGAAAGAAGAAGAAGAAGGAGGAAGGAGGGAGACGAGATGGAGGGCGAGATGAAGAAGAAGAATATGTCGGCCTCCTCGCTGTCTCACCTGCAGGTAACTGCTGCCATGTATTAACTGATGTCGTGGTCCCTGTGCAGGTCGGCGGCACGGAGCGCGGCTATGGCGCCAGGTAAGTACCGCCGCTGCAGGTATGGCCTCCGCCTCACCTCCTGCCTACACCTCTACCTCTACAGCGCAGCGCTGTGTTGCGCTGCTCCAGCAGCATGTTGCCCAAGAAGTGAGCTACTCGAACTGTGTCTCAGCCCTGGTCTGGCCCGGCTACTTGTAGGGCTGGGCCTTGCTGGTGTGCCTGCGTGTGCCTCTCGTCCTGGCCTCGAACATGGCCTGCCTGGGTCCCTACCGGAAGTCCAGGCACTCCCTGCTGATTCAGCAGGGAGTGTCCGCTATTGGACAAACGCGGACCTGGCCCCAAAGGGCCTGCTTGCATCCGTACGAGGCCCAAAGTGTGGCCTTTGTCCGAACAGACCTTGTACTAAGTCCGAAACGATGCCTGAACAGACAAAATATATAAATGAATGCTGTCTCAAATTGAAACCTGCGGCCCTGAGGTCGGCCGTGGGCCTCCAGGGTGCGCGCCTGAACTGCATGCGGCCTGGGGGGCCCCAACAACCGTCGTGCCCTCAAAATGGGGCCCGTGTGCAGGCTCAGCATGTAACACAGAGAGAGAGTCCCACTTGGCGGCAGACATTGGCCTCATCACACCTTGTTACTCAAAATGGGGCCCGTGTAGCTATGCCTGAGACCGCTAGAACTGACCAGGTAATCAATCTGTTTATGGATAACTGGGTTAGAGATTTCGGTTTGCCAAGGTCCATTGTTAGTGGCCGTGATGTCCGTTTCACTCGTGAGCTCTGGAAGAGAGCGGCCGAGCAGATGGGTTCCCAACTGCAAATGACTTCAGGGAATCATCCCGAAGCCAACGGCCAAGCCGAATAGATGAACCATGTGGTGCAGCACCTGCTCCGGCATTACATTAAGCTGAGGCAGGATGGCTGGGATGAGAAATTGCCTCTCATCACCAGCCTCTACAATCATGCTGTATACAGCACCACCGGCGTATCCCCGAATGAGCTACATATTGGGTGAAAGTCTAGGACAGCCCTTGAGAAGTTTTGGATGTTGTTGGGAATGATCCTGATGGGCCCTCGTATGTGATCAGGATCCCGGGACATTTGCGCACTTACCCTGTTTTCCATGCCTCCAAGATTGCGCCTTTCGCTGCAACTGTTCAGTTTCCTTTGAGGCGCTCTATGCTGCCCCCAACCATGGACGGACACGTGGACGTGGATCATATTGTGGAACACAGAGAGCTTCCTGTTCAGCTTCCTGTTCGAAAACCGACTGGCACGGGAAGACCACTGAAGCCTTGACGGGAGTACAGGGTACCATTTTGACATCACACGGATCCTAAGGAGGACCGGTGGTTTACTCGAGAACAAATGCTAAAGACAACACCGCAAATTGTCTCCTTCTATGAGAAGGCGCTGCTAAAAGGAAAAGGAAAAGTTCAGTAAAGAGCATTTCACGAGACTTTCGAAGCTAAGGAGGAGGGAATGTGAGGCTTTTTGCCCCTAAGAGAATCTGCTCCTCTACTCGGTGCTCGCCGTAAGTGAAGGCGGGCCTGATTTTTGGCTGCACGGCCTGAAAAGGGCACTTATGGGCCTCTCATTGCTAGTAAGTTACAGGGCGCTGGTTGGTTGGTGAGGCCCTGTGCGACCAGCCTGGGTGTGTGCGACATCAGCAGCAACTCGGCCAGCCGATGAGATGCAACGGCGGGCCCAGCCAGCACGCTGCCTTTTCCATAAAGGAAAGGGCGGGCCTCTAGGGAAAGCAGTTGGCTGGCTCGCAGATGCGGCAGCACTGCTGGATGGGCGCGTGCTGCTTGAACGCTGGCTAGCGTGGATGCACTGGCAGGGTCTTGGGAGAAGTCGCTGCTGGGGGCAGCGCACGCGTCGCAGCCATAGCCGGACTTTGCTTCCTGACAGGCTGGTGGGTGTTAAACGGTGGTCCCCGGGCATTAAGACAAGCACGTGGGGAATAAGACGGGATGAGGGGAGAGTGAGAAGACGGCATACCTGGTCGTGCTGGAGGTCGGCAGGGGCGACATTAGCAGGCACATTGGTTTTCTGCTGCTGAAGTCTTCTGGTCGCGTCATTAGCTGTAGGCTTGATAGGTCTGCACGATTGTGGTCCTGGCACCAGGCACCTATTGGAAGAGGGGCTTTGGATACAGGTTGGTGGCGGCGAGTGATGGGCTATCATCGACATTTGAGTTCATTGCTTCCCTCTTCATGGTGCGCTATTGGTGTGATTCTGCTTTCTGTGCGATTTGTGATTATCTGCTTAAAGTGTGATGGTGCAATTTGGAAGTTCTGTCATTCGCACTTGGCTTGGCTTTAAAGTAACAAGGTGTGACGAGGCCAATGTCTGCCGCCAAGTTGGGCTCTCTCTCTCTCTCTCTCTCTCTCTCTCTCTCTCTCTCTCTCTCTCTCTCTCTCTCTCTCTCT